CAGAGGACACAAATCATACAAGGCATACATAGCAGTCTTTGTATGCCTTGCCACAAAAGCAATACACCTTGAAGTGGTAAGCGATATGTCTTCGGATACGTTCTTAGCAGCGTTTCGAAGATTCACCGCCCGAAGAGGACAATGTTCACACATATACAGCGACAATGGGACAACATTCGTCGGCGCTGCCAGACATTTAGAAAGTGAAGTCAAGGAAGTGATAGAAAAATCGCAAGTCCTGGACGTAATGCACACAGCAGGAACGAAATGGCACTTCATCCCTCCAACAGCACCTCACTTCGGAGGAATATGGGAGGCGGGTGTGAAATCGATGAAACATCATCTGAAACGAGTCATTGGTGAAACCACCCTGACCTATGAAGAGTTAACAACGCTGATGCATCAGATCGAAGCCTGCCTAAATTCGAGGCCCTTATGCCCACTTAGTGATGGCGTCGATGATTCGATGGTACTTACGCCTGGACACTTTCTAATAGGGAGGCCAATAGTATCCCCACCAGACCCGATAAGCACGGAAATTAATCCTAGCCTTTCCCATAGATGGAAATTAGTGCAAAAAATGAAGAGAGATTTCTGGAATGCTTGGTCTACAGAGTACCTAAGCAGACTACAAGTCAGGTACAAGTGGAACACGGCACAGGAAAATTTGAAAGTCGGAACAATCGTCATCATAAAAGAAGACTTCATAAATCCAGCGCAATGGCCGCTAGCAAAAATAATAGAAGTACATCCTGGCAAAGATGACCTCATCCGAGTTGTCACCTTGAGAAAAGGCAACACAACACTAAAACGGGCCATAACCAACTTGATTCCGTTACCAGTAGAAAAAACAGACGAACCAATACAGGAAAAACCAGAAGCCAATGAAAAAGCCGTGAGAGAAAACAACGGTAAAAATAGAAGCATGAGCAAAGTGTGCAAATTCCTCCTGCTAGCAATGTGTGTCATATGGACACCTACCAGTGAAGCGTACTACACGATTCATCATCCGCAAAAAGGCATATATGTGGAGCATATAGGAGTAGCAAGCATAAACAGAGGGGTGTTCCGATTACAAATAAATATAGACAAAACAAGGATCAACGAAGACGTAGCAAATGCTTCGAGAATCATCGAAGAATTCCAGCAGCTGTGCAATAAAACAAAGGCCCTATCCCAGGAGACCCAGTGTCATCTTTTGTCCAAGCACTTAATTGAAAGGGAAAAAGAGATTCTTCTTGTGAAAGAGAGTATGCAAATAGCAGGAACCCGCAGGAAAAGAGGATTATTTGGAGAACTACTTACCTCAGTCTTTGGAGTAAACGACGAGGTATACAGAGACATCAGCAGCTTGCAGTCGAATCAAGATGAACTTATAAAGGCAGCCAACCATCAGAGCAAAGTAATGATCAGTGCCATTTCACAAATAAACGAGACAGAAGTTCGCATCCAACGTCAATTGGAACAGTTCAGAACAAAATTGAATCAAGGCATTGAGGCAGTAAATGCAATGAAAAACTGGTATAGCGCCGTCGATACCAACTCGTTGAATATTCATCTGTTGAGTGCATACAATCTAGCAAACAACTACCTCGACGAACTATGTGAGTACTACGAGAAACTCTTCAGAATCCTGTACAACAACGCAACACTGTATGAGTTATTAGCGCCAAAACACGTAAAGACAATCATCACAGAAGCAAACAAAAAACTACCCTCAAATCTGAAGATAGTACAAGCACCGATCACATTGACGAAGGTAGAAAAGGACGAGCAATCACTAAAAATATTTACATTTTTCATGATCGAAGATATTTCCAAGTTTGAAGTTCTGAAGATTGTGCCCACGCCACTAAAAGTAGAAAATGGGTCATATTGGACAATTGAAATTCCCAGTGAGATAGTAGCAGTGGACTACAATAATCAGCAATATTTCCAGCAAAGCGATCAAGAATTCACCTCATGCATATCGACATCACAAAACAAATATGTGTGCTCTCCGACAGCAGTGAAAAATATAGAGACCAATCCGAATTGCATAATTGACGAAATATATCAAAGATCGGAGTCAACTCGGTGCGGAGTCCGGAAGAATGGACTAACATCCATTGTTTGGAAGCAACTCTACATGCCTAATACATGGCTATTCATCACAAAAAATCCTACCAAAATAGCAGTGATATGCAAGGGAATCAGAGAAGACATTGCTCTGAACCAAAGTGGAATACTGCAAGTGGAACAAGATTGCATAGTCAAAACGAAACAAAACACTCTGACGACAAGACGAGTAAGCACCGCTCCAGTAATTGCGAGTTATTCCAAGGCGATTCTCATCAACATAACAGACGTCCCGCAAAATAACGAACCAGAACAACTCGAAGAAGAGCCAATTTTCAAAATCTCCGACAGCTTGAATACAGTGAGACTAAATGAAGAAAAGATTCGGGAACAGCTACAAACGGCAATTTGGAAAAACATACAAACCCACACATACGCCGCCACTGGAGTGTCAGCAGCAATAATTTTTGCGATATTATTAGTAGTATGGGTCATTCAAAAACAAATAACGAACGCAACCCGACGCAGGCAGAGGAATAGGCCGGAGTCAGCAAAACAAACTGAAATGCTCGAGTTGCAGCCACTACGCAACCTAGACTCAGTCGAGACAGGGGAGAATGTTGAATCAACATAAATTAGAAATTTCAACATAAATTTTAATTTAATCTGAAATTTCTACATCATTATAAAATCCACAATTTATTAGGAAATAAGGCAAGGTAATTAAACCCATCGCAAACCTTGCCCAAAGTTACTAAAAAACCACGAATCGATGTTCACGGGTTTTTCACCTTAATTTCCGTTATGATACCGCGTAACGCCAGTGTTTTAGATACAAAGTCAACACACCTTTAATTGTTATTAAGTTATGAAAAATATTGTAATTAATTATTATTAGTTATGATAAATATTGTTAGGTTCAAATTGAAATATTTAATATAAATAAGAATCAATTTGAAAAATAAAGCCAGTATCAAACAATAATAGTTTCTACTCATTTAATTACACAAAGTAGCCATTTGTGATAATTATCCCCAAAGTTCTTCCCTAAGGGCTTTGTAGTCGTTATCTTGGTTCAAGATAACTAGTGACTTTCAGGCAATAATTCCTGGACGTCACGCACAGAGATACGGACCTTGGAGGCCTTACAACCCTCTAGTGAACTACACTAAGGGCCCAACTCTGTTCACGGCGTCTTCTTAAAGCGTAGAAGTGATCGTTCATAGGTGGCGGTAGAACGCACCAGTTTAGTGAGCTTGGAGCCATTTTCAAACAACTTGAGCAGAGGAGTCTCGGGCATCTTGAATATAGCAATGACATTTGCTGGTCTCTCCTCCAAATTTTCAACGGCGAAGTCAGCCAGAACTTCGTTGGGCCAGGCTTCAGGTGATAGAACAAGCCAAGCTGGACCGGTCCACCACAGCATGTGCTCGAGAAGCTCGGTGGGAGTTAATCCGCGGGTGGCGCAATCAGCTGGGTTCATCTTGCCAGGGACGAATCGCCATTGAGCTGAAGGCAGAAGTTCTTGAATTAAACTGACACGATTATGAACAAATTCTTTCCATCTTGAAGGATGATTGTTGACCCAGGTATGCGTGATTGAAGAATCAGTCCAGCAGTAAACACATGAACCTTTCCAGTCCATGGCATCAATCACCTGTTTCAGAAGCTTGGCAAGTAAGACTGCTGCGCAGAGCTCCAGTCGTGGTATGGTGAGTTTCTTAAGTGGGGCCACCTTAGTCTTGGCGCATACAAGGGTGGCGGTGACTGCATCTTGATTTCGGACACGAACATATACGGCAGCTGCCATAGCTTTCTGAGAGGAATCGCAGAAGCCGTGGACTTTGAATGCGGAGGCTTTTAGAAGGTTTAGCCAGCGAGGGATGAATAGCTGATCTAAGCTTTTGAGGTGCCCAACGTAGTCCTTCCATTTTCTGGAAAGCTCGTGAGAAAGTTCGTCATCCCATTTCAGGTTGGTCACCCATAGATCTTGAACAAAGGTCTTGGCGACAATAGTCACGGCGGCCAAGAGTCCCAGAGGATCGAAGATTTTGGCGATGGCGGATAGAACTTTACGTTTTGTAATAGGCGATTCCAAATCCAATTTAACCGTGAAGTGGAAGGTGTCAGCAGTAGGTTGCCATGCTAGCCCCAGAGCATGCGTGATCGAACTTTCGGTGAGCGATTTAGACAGTATTTCGAGGCGGCGATCTGCGGGTACTTCGCTTAGAATCTTTGAGTGATTACTGTTCCACTTTTGTATCGGAAACCCGCCCGCCATGCATAACTTCGTGATTTGGAGGATTTGTGCTTTCGCTTCATGGATGGTGTCAGCACCTCCTATGATGTCATCGACGTACCGGCCCCTTTGTAGGGCAGTTAGCGCTAACGGGTAATTATTGCCTTCGTCCGTGATGAGCTGCTGAAACGCACACAGGGCGAGAAAGGCGGCGCAGGCTAGGCCGTAAGTGACGGTGGTCAACTCATAGGTGATAGGTTGACCGTCGGCATACCAAAGAATGCGCTGGAATTTCCAGTCATCTGGATGTACCCTTATTTGGCGATAAATTTTTTCCATATCAGCGGAGAAGACGTAGCGGTTCAGCCGGAAGAATAATAGAACGTCGACGAGATCGCTCTGTAGTTTTGCCCCAGAGTGCAATTGGTCATTCAGCGACTTACCGCTGCTGGAAGGGCTTGAACCGTTGAAGACGACGCGCAGCTTCGTGGTCAGGCTAGTTTCTTTGACCACATCATGATGTGGGAGATAGTAAGTAATATCGGGTTCTGGAGCTCTACTGGCAACTACAACCAGGTGCTGGAGCTTCTCGTATCCTTGATAAAGTTTGTATAAGCTTGCTGGTAAGCTGGATTGGCGTTGAATTTCTTGTGGAGACTGCACAGCATTCCTTGGGATCGGAAACGCGACTCGCCTAATTGACTAGGAGGGGTCTTGAATGGTAGGCGGACGATATATCGGCCCGCCTCGTCTCTGGAGTGTGTTTCTTTAAAATGCTTCTCGCATTGGAATTCGGCCTTCGAAAGCTTGGTCATGTGAGCTTCATGGAGCTCGTCGTCCACGTGAGCATGAAGGACCTGACAAGACGAGGGCATGTGGTCATGGCCTGACGGTCCAGAAACGATCCACCCGAATTGGGTAAGCTGGGCGGTTGGAGTGCGAGCAGCGCCCTTAACTACTCCTTCTTCAAGAATTTGGCCATAAATATCGGCGCCGAGAATAATGTCAATGGGTCCGACAGTGTAGAAATCTGGGTCTAGGTGGTTGGATGAAATGACCATGGTTATGGCTGAATTGAAATGCGCCTGGATCTGGAGGTGAACAATCCCATAGGTTCTACTTGATGTGTGTCCGCCTATTCCGACAATAGGCATCGAGGTGGACTTGCGTTGTAAGCGAAGTTGCTGCGCAATACGCTCCGAGATCAGCGAGATTTCTGAGCCTTGGTCCAGCAAAGCTCGTACGCAGGTCTCTTCTCCGGATTCGGATGTAGCGATGAGTGTTGCGGTGGCCAGCAGCACGCAGCTGGGTTCAAGTCCGCTAACATGATTAACGTGGGCTCCAGACGGATGGATGAGCCTGGGAGTTGTGGTTTGCCTGATAATTTTCAAGTGCTGCTTTCAACTGATTTTGATGGATGGTCGTGTGATGCTTGTTGCCGCACTTCATACAGCGTTTTGGGGAGCTGCAGGCTTTGGATGAGTGTAAGCCTAGACAATTATAGCACAGTTTGTGCTTAACAACCATTTCGCGACGCTGTCGTCTCGTCTGATTGAGGTATCGAGGACAGTGAGCGACGTAGTGTTTCTCGGAACAGAGGACACAGGTGGCTGACGATCTGGTAGATTGCACTGCTGATTCTTGGCCAGCGTAATGTGCCCTGGCGCTGGATGATGACGATGTTGAGGTGGTTTGTCTTACATTGGTCGAGTTCTCGTAAGACTTGAGCATAAGAAGTCTGGAAAAAATAAAGTCCGACAGTTTTTGCCAGGTTGGCGGGGTCTTTGTGGAACCTAGGTGATGTTCCCAGGCTTTGATGGTCTCAGGGTCAAACCGTTGCGTAGTGAGGAACACTAGGAAGTCATCAATACCAGGCATGGAGCGCTGGAGAGTCTCCAGGGTCTAGCGCACCTGGGTAGCGGCAGTGTAGAGCTGCTCAAGCTCTGTAGCCGATTCTTTTGTCATTTTCCTCATGGTCGTAGCTGACCGCATCGCATTGTTCAAGAGAACGCGCTTATTTTCGTAGAAGGCCTGAAGAGAATCCCACGCCTTCTGGAAGCTTCTCGGTAAGCGCCGTGCTATTTAAGAAATGCGTTGCGGAGCCAACCAGGCAGTTCTTCAGATAATGCAGCTTGTATATAGGTGAAACGGCCGGGTTAGAAGCTACCATTTGGACAAACATGTCTTTGAATGGCAACCATCCGGATACTGTGCCATTAAACTTGGGAAAATCCAATTGCGGTAGTCGAGGCACATGGTGCACTGTGTGCGGATTCTCGGACATGGAGGTGTGAGTGCGAGTCATCGAGTTGTCTCGACGTGAAGTGGCATCGCTTGCAATAAGGACCTGGACTTGTTCCAGAGCCTCGAGGTAGATCTCGCGTGTTGACTGGAAGTGACGCCGAGTGAAGTAGGATCTCTGCAGGACTTGCTTCTTCTCACGCTCGTTCAACTTGCGGACGCACAAGCTTATCGCGTCGTGGTTGATGGAGAACTTATTCCACTGGTCTTTAAGTAGCGAGTTCCGGGCCTCGATACGATGGCGAGTGACATTTTCAGACCCGACGCTTGTCAGGTGGCGGATGAAGTCTTTGATGAAATCACGAATTTCACCCTGCTGGTCTACGTGGAGTTGGACTGTTTGGATTGACATGCTGAGTTTCACCCTATCCGGCTCGAAGGACCAAAATGTTCAATTAAATTACGGAAATGGTATTGGTTAATATAAAGATATATTTATCGAACAAAAGGCATTATTTGGGGGGGGGGGGGTAATTCTGGTGCGGGTGCAGCTCAGCTATGGAAGTAGTCTGGAACGTGTACCAGATCCAGCAGGATTAGGTTGAATCTAGAAGTTGTAGTCGAGTTTAAATACAGGTCAGGAAGCAGTGCTTGAAGAGAGGCTGCATCCGGTGCCAGTTTTCTGGAATGCCAGTCATCCATGTGGAATCGAACAGTTTGTTCATCATCAAGTGATGACCATTAATGGATGTAGAACAGATAGCTAGAGTTTAGTGGACTGTATGGAGAGAGACTTGAAGGTGAACACTTAGAGAACGTGCAGAGGAGATGCCCTATCGGCTCCTAATATCGGAGACGAAATCCTGCTGATATAACTCAAGGATGTGCAAATGTAAATAAACCATGGAAATGGATAGTAATAGAATGCGAACTCTCGAGGGAGAAGTCGCGCCAGCAGGAACACACAAAACTAGAGAGTATTAGAATGCGACTCTCGAGGGAGAGGTCGCCACATCAGGAATGCCATCAGAATTGTATAGTAATAGAATGCAACCTCTCGAGGAAGAGGTCGCCGCAGCAGGAACACCATCAGAATTAGATAGTAATTGAATGCGTTCTCTCGGGGAGAGGTCGCCCCAGCAGGAGTACCATCAGAATTAGATGGTAATAGAATGCGACCTTTCTGGGAGGGGTCGCCCCAGCAGGAATACCATCAGAACTAGATAGTAATAGAATGCGACCTCTGTGGGAGGGGTCGCCCCAGCAGGAATACCATCAGAACTAGATATTAATAGAATGCGACCTGTCGGTGACAGGTCGCCCCAGCAGGAATACCATGAGCATTAAATAGTAATAGAATGCGACCTGTCGAGGACAGGTCGCCCCAGCAGGAATACAATTTGCATTAAATAGTAATAGAATGCGACCTGTCGGGGACAGGTCGCCCCAGCAGGAATACCATGAGCATTAAATAGTAATAGAATGCGACCTGTCGGGGACAGGTCGTTCCAGCAGGAATGCCATGAGCATTTAATAGTAATAGAATGCGACCTGTCGGGGACAGGTCGCCCCAGCAGGAATGTCATGAGCATTTAATAGTAATAGAATGCGACCTGTCGGGGACAGGTCGCCCCAGCAGGAATACCTTGAGCATTTAATAGTAATAGAAGGCGACCTATCGGGGACAGGTCGCCCCAGCAGGAATGCCATGAGCATTTAATAGCAATAGAATGCGACCTATCGGGGACAGGTCGCCCCAGCAGGAATACCTTCAAAACTAGATTTTAATAGAATGCGACCTCTAGAAGGAGAGGTCGCCCCAGTAGAAACAACATTCATAGTACATTGGAGTTAGGTACATACCAGATTGATTGTGGCGTCACTTAACCAGAATACGACTCAGTATTCTATATATTTGATGAAGGCTTGATGGGACTCGTAATAACACCGTCAAACACTCAGAATAGATCGAAATCTCACAATGTACTGTCCCTTCCTTATGCGAGCGCCTCCGCCAGGTACCATGTCTGCCTCGAACCTCGGGTTGCTTATTGAAAATTCTCAACCCTTCATAAAATCAATATTTTGTCAGCAAGTTCACTGTAATCTACCTGGCTGGAATCTTTATGACCTTTTGGGTCGGTTTGATGAAAATAGGTACATAAAGAAATGCATTATTTTAGGTCTTTGAATCGTTTATTCTTTGCTGAAAAACAGGCAGGTTTTAAAATTCACATTTGAAACAGTAAGCCTTATTTTAACAGGAGTTGCTTCGATTTTTTCGACCGGCTGTTTTGAGACTATCACTGTTGAGTCTGTCTCGGAAAAAGGTCTTTACTTTCTCTTGCTTATTACTGGATTCAATTTCTACGAATATTTTATGCTCGGAACTTTTACTCGGTTGGCTTCTGACTAATGTAAATGATGGGGTGAGAGTGCCAACTACCGTGCTTCGGTCTGTAGGGTTGAAATTAATTTTCTCGATTTTGATGTGAGAATGTCATTATTCTCGCACGCAAAATCATTGAAGAATGAAGCTCATTCTTCAACGATTTTTAGTGACATTTAGTTTTCAAAGTATACCTATTGATATACCTTCAAAAATGTCAAACCATTTAAAATAATAAGATTCACCTGTCAGTTGATAGGTAAGTGTCACCAATTGACATATTTTGCGAAAAAAAAATCCCCATCTAACAGCGACCACAATTTTTTTTTTAAATGAAAAATAAAATCCAAAATCGAGAAAATAGTATAAAACTCACGTTGCAGAAGGCTATTCTCGCACTCATTCGTTCGTCCACTCGCTCCTTCGTCGCTCGTGTCCAAATTTCGAATTCGTGAGGGAATATGTGGCCTTCTGCAACTTGTATTTTAATATACTATTCTCGATTTTGATGTGAAAATGTCATTATTCCCGCACGCAAAATCGTTGAAGAATGAAGCTCATTCTTCAACATAGAATAAGGTTTATAGTGGGGATAGAATGGACAGTCCCGTTATACGGGTCGGACAACCATTTGTGGCCCCATCTGTTGTCTATGGAATGAACTCATGTCATTGTAGCAGCTTGTAGAGCAGTTTGCTTCTTATTTTTTTTTAGGTCTGCTTTTTATTTATTTTATAATAAAGACACAATTTGATACAAATTCAACAAAAAACGGTTTATTCCAAAGAAAGGAGAAAATTATGTTGGCTTTTCGAAACATGTCAACAAAGTCAACACCAGAGATAAATACTATACCGGGTGGTCCTCCGGGAATGACATCGATTGCTTATGGGAAAACTGTGAAAGGTAAAAATTTGAAAATTTGGCAACATAGCAATGTCGATGGGGGACATCCAGGTAAAATATTTTCAAGATGGCGGCATTTCCGGTCATACCGGAAGTTGATACCAACTCGGTTATTTTAAATAGAACACCCCATATATTAATGTATTTTTGGATTCTACATAAAATTCTGAGCAGATTTCATGTAATATACCCTATACCTAAGTTCAACTGTTTTGGAAATATTGACAGTTGAAAATTGACTTTTTGCAACTTTGACAGGCTGTAAAACCTGAACAATTAATTTTAGAGGAAACCCGATTTGACATTCCTATCTTAGATTTTTATAAACTATCATTTGACATCAACTTTGAATTAAATCCATGATTAAAAATTTCAGTTAAATTTAATCTCCGTTTAAGTTCAAAGTTGGTGTCAAATGATAGTTTATCAAAATCTAAGATAGGAATGTGAAATCGGTTTTCCTCTAAAATTAACCAATTAGGTTTTACAGCTTGTCAAAGTTGCAAAAAGTCAATTTTCAACTGTCAATATTTCCAAAACAGTTGAACTTAGGTATAGGGTATATTACATGAAATCTGCTCAGAATTTTATGTAGAATCCAAAAATACATTAATATATGGGGTGTTCTATTTAAAATAACCGAGTTGGTATCAACTTCCGGTATGACCGGAAATGCCGCCATCTTGAAAATATTTTACCTGGATGTCCCCCATCGACATTGCTATGTTGCCAAATTTTCAAATTTTTACCTTTCACAGTTTTCCCATAAGCAATCGATGTCATTCCCGGAGGACCACCCGGTATAAACTGTCGAGAATGGAATGTCAGTGTAAATTTTGTTGTCAACAAAATTGAGCCAAGCCAGCGCCATCTACCACATCGGAAAATCACTATTTACTGGTTTTGCATCGATGCTACAGACACCTACTTTACATAGGACTTTTTATGATAGATGGCTCCCTGTTCGCATTACTGTCGGTCTGTTCAAATTCGTTTATTCTAGACTTTGGGCATTAATGTTTGCTTAAATTAATTGATAATTTGTTAATTAGATCAAAAGACAATTTCTTTATCGATGGTTAAGGGATCCTTAACATATTTATTCGAAGTACTGATTGATGTTTAATTGATCCTGTCATTTATCTAGTCAACAAAGATAAAAATAGATCTCCCAATCTATAAAGTT